AGGTGAAACTAGAAATGGTGAGTGACGTGAAACATTTAAAAATCAGTCGTGGCACAGTGAGAGTCCAGGTAATGACTCAAACTAGGTTACAAAAATAACCCCATCTATCTGCAGGACTGAGCTGGACATGGAATCTAGCATATGCCTATACAGCACTAAGCAGTGGGTCTATACTGTATTCTTGTGTATTGGTAGATCCCGAGTCTGTGTTATACCAGTATAAAATTAAACTCAGCGGAGCTGCGGGTGTAAATCCAGAATGTGACTGAGATCAGGATCTGGCCAAGTTCAGCTGCAATCACTGTGCTATCTATGGACAAAGATATAGATAAAATGAAGATCTGATTACTAAATTTTCCTCCAACTGTCTTTTTACAGCTATGCCCGAGAGCTCAGCATATAGAATGCAGTCAAAGTTGACCCAAATTTCCTTCTTTTAACTTGAATTAAATAGCAAACCCTTTCCCTCTTGTACTTGTTTCTAGAGATGATCATGTCTTTGCTGCTAAGATGTTTCTTTTTATGGATGTGTAATATTTCAGATCAGTTACATATAAACAGTCACTTAAGTTGGTCCTTTGTATTTCTTAAAAACCAGAGTATGCTTTGATGTGGAAGGCTTATGCTGGCATTTACCAGAGTGTTACCCGGGCTTGCCTGGAGATTTAGCAATAAGAATAGTAGGAGAGTGGGAGAAACCACAGGAGGAGATTAAAGATCAGCGGAGAGTTTTCATTGGCTCTTTTAAGATGGAGAATCTGTAATTAAGGATTTAGATGGTTCACAAATAGCTCAGCTTACTGCCTGCTCACTCACATTATCAGTTTGCTGCTGTTACAAAGAGCTGGATTTTATACTTCAACTGAAAGGGCATAAAAGTAAAAGGTAAGGCATGCAATTGGGGAATGCTGCGAATATGCCAGTGCTATTGAAGTAACCACGATTATCTCTGTCTCCTTTCCGGATCAGTTTTGAATAGAGTGCAGTTCCTGTAACAAATGTTGTTTGCTTTAAATTTCCCTTTCCTGTTAGTGGCTGTTAACGGATAGGAAAAGAAATGCGAGCAGAGAAAAGAAAATGTAAAAGAGGAGACAGCAAGAATAAAAAGTATCCAAGCACTCCCGACTGGCATATACAAGTAGGAGACTAAAGAGTTCTATGTTTCAGGCAGCCTAAGGAATTCTTGTTAGCAGTCAGATACTGTGGTGAAGAGTGAATTATTAACGCCTAGATAAGCGGCAAAGAGCCACGTTGACATTTGAGTGTCAGGGCGTGTTGGGGTTGACTTAATTATGCCCACGGGAGAGCTTTCTTCCTTCGGCATAGAGCGGCTACTTGGGAGACCTTACTGCTCCACAGCTGCAATGGTACAACTGTGCCATTGTAAGGTCTATAGTGTAGATGTGGCCTTAGTTGTTGTTCAGCTTTTGGAGGGCTGGAGAAAAAGCTGCCTTATATATCTGGTGCTTTCCTAGAACAAAACAGTAATAATAATTTGCACTTGCAGAGCCTCTTTGTTGTTAAAAGCATTTTAGTTAAGCCACGTCATGACCCTATCACTTAGCGGTTTTCCTTATTTTATGGATGGGAAAAGTGGACACTGAGGCAGAGAGAGACTGAGTGACTTGTGCACGTTCACACAGCGAGTTAGCAACAGAGCTGGGAATAAAATGTGGGACTTCTTATTCCTCATCCTCTGCTCCAACCATTAAGATCCTGTTGCCTCTTCAGTAGCTAGTGGATGGGAATGCATTTCCTCCACTTTGGAATCTAGCATGACTTTTGACATTCAGCGGGTACTCCACCAAAGACTGAGGGCTGGAAGGAAACACAATGTAGGTTGAAATTCTAACTGTGAGGTTTATTAAACCATGGATGTGTATCCCAAGGGAAGTGGTAAAAACTAGATAGGATAAAGCACTAATAAATATGCTGTAGGAACCAATTCCTGGGGAATAAATTAAATAATAATCTAATGTCTCTTCGTTTTCCAGTTGCTATGTTTTTAATAAGAGTAAAATGGTACAGTCCCTATTTGAATAGTGCTTTTAATTAACTTCTAATTTAAATTTAACCTTTTTAATTAAAATTATTTTTTAATTAAATCCACCTGCTGTTCTACCTGCCCTGAGTCTGAGTTGTCACGTGAGGTAAGCCTACAGTGCATATGTGACTGGAACTAATTCTGTAAGTGTCTAATTGTTTGTGTCTTTCCGAGTTTGAGATGAGACCTACTGAATCTTCTAGTCCAGCAATGGTTACTTTTGCAGGATTGTTCCTTTGGGGGTGCTCTGCATGCCAATACAGGATGCAATTCATCTGCACCTGTTTGAGCATTGGATAATTATTAACTCACCTCACACCCCAGGAAATTATGCAAGTGAACATTCCCTCTTTCCTTACCCCCTTCCCTACCAGGTAAGCAAACAGTCGCAGGTAGGTTGTGTCTGGCCCAAGGTCGTGCAGTGAGGCAGTTTCACAATGGGATTGAGTAGGGGAGCTGCCTACCTTCCAGTTTAGGGTCCGAGCTAGGCTCGCCCGTGGAGGGACGAAGGGCACGGAGACTGGGAATTCAGTATTGTGAAGGAATTCTCGCTCCCTGCCAATTGTGATAAAAGGCTGGTTTTGTGTGTGTGTGTCCTAACAGCCCATCTATCACTGACCACCAACAGAAAGGCTTTATTTACTTTAAAATATATATTTATTATTCAGTTCTGTCATCTGTCTGAAACAGCCCTCTTCCCTCTACTCTGCATGAGAGTAAGATCCTTGCTGAGAGTCACCTGCAGATGCTGAGCCAAAAGAGGCCGGGTCTGCAGAGAGAGGGCATTCAGAGATCAGAATGTACATTGGGATGTTATTTAGGGGAAGGCTGGGGGGCGGGGAGGGAAAGAGTAGTGGGGGTGAGAGTCTTACCTTTTAGTTGAGGAAAGACTTCATTGTGGTTTGAACCTGTAACCTTCAGTACAGGAACTTCTACTGTTGGAGCTCAAGCTTGAGTAATTCTGCTACTTTGTAGCTGTAGTAGACCCTTATCCACTTGTGTGGCTCAACCACTAGAGGGAGACAAAGACCCACTCTCTCCAAGGTTGGGGTATGTTTGCACCCTCATAACAGGGTCCAAAATGTTACAACATAATAATGTACTTTTCTTGTAAACTTTCATGTAAACTCAATACTGATGAAAGTGCAGTGGTTGATAGCCATGGGGATGGAAGTCCTCACCTAGCCATGGAACGGTGGCTTCCATCACCACAGTGCCTCTGGTATGACCTGGAGGGGCCAACTCTAGCAATGAGGTGGTGGTGGACACACTGACCCATTCCATCCTCTGCTGAGTTTGTCAACTATTTATGGTGGAGGGGGGTTAGGTGGACTCTTGTCCAAAGCAGACTGGACAGACCACCAAACAGCTGTCAGAGGGTAATGGTTTTCAGTCACTACCAGCCTGGCCAGGATTTGGTAAAGGTGAAGGGCTCTGCAATGTGTTACCAGTCTCCTAAGACAGGCCTGTCTCCCGGGGTTTTTCCTCTTTGAAATAAGCGCTTCAGCTTGTTCACGATGAAAGTTCTGTGGCAACATCCACAGTGCCTGGGTCAGTTGCTCTTCTTTTACATCTCCGGCCTGGTAATTCAAGCTTTTATGGCTGAGTTGGATTCTCTTCCCCCATCCCTCCCAAGCTGCATCATACTTAGGTTTCTTATCAGTGGGTCACTTAGAACAGAAAGGGTTATTCCACTGGCATCAGTGAAAATGAAAAAAAATGAGCAGATTTTACTTCCTTGAGACCTTGCAGTGCAGATGTTTTTGCTCACCTTTATTAAACGCATGTGGTAAATGAACATCCCATTGTGTATGTACAAGGTGTTATACTGGGATAACAGATGACATTTATATAGACCGCAAGTACACTGGGGGAAAATAACATGGTATTGAGTATAAAAGGGTCCCCTGACAACTTACAAACCAAATACCCATGTAAACATGTTTCTTTATAATGTCCCGCAAACTTGCTACTAGTCCCTTTTCTGTTTAGAGAAAAGTCCATCCCTTGGGACTAAATGGCTCAGGGGCCTGGTAATGGGAAAAAGGGAACCTTATGCTCTCAGGATGAAGCCTGCCCAGCTTAGTAGCCACTAGCATCCGTCTGACTGCTGCTCATTGGGACTATATAAAGTAACAGGTTTCAGAGTAACAGTCGTGTTAGTCTGTATTCGCAAAAAGAAAAGGAGTACTTGTGGCACCTTAGAGACTAACCAATTTATTTGAGCATATGCTTTCGTGAGCTACAGCTCACTTCATCGGATGCATACTGTATTTTCCACAGTATATATCCGATGAAGTGAGCTGTAGCTCACGAAAGCTTATGCTCAAATAAATTGGTTAGTCTCTAAGGTGCCACAAGTACTCCTTTTCTTTATATAAAGTGAGTTTGATTTCGGTTCAGTTCCTTGAGTGCACTTGCCGACATCACAATGAACTCGCCCTATACTTGGCACTAGCTGTCCCTCTTGTTAGCAGGCTCAGTAGAGAGGCCATAACTGACTGGATCCTGGTGACTGAGCTCACTTTGGCCTAGGGATGTTCCCTCCAGGTCAGTGTTGAGGCACAGTAGGAGGAAATCTTGTCTTGTTGCTGCTCGTCTTGTGTTTGCTCTCTGGATAGAGGATGTTGCTCTCTAGGACTATCAGTCCAGCGCTTTTCACCACCAGCACTAAACTAGTTACTTCAGCCATACATTGTTGGTATGTATGCTTATCCGATTTCATATTTCATCTCAGTTCCACTGCTACTGTTTCTTCTGCTACCCCTCTTCCTCCCCTAGGCGGTGCCATTTGTTTGCTGATGATTGCTTAGTTGGCTGCAGTCGCTTGTAAGTGAAGGCAATGAACAGAAACCTTTCTCTCTGCATGAGGCATCTGCGGGAATCTAAAGCTGGCATTTCTTATGATTGTGTGTTTCTAACCAAGAGATGCGTTTGTTTTTTTCCCCCTCTGCAGCCATGACAGGACCAAGACCAGTAGTTCTCAGTGGCCCATCGGGTGCAGGAAAGAGCACTTTGTTAAAAATGCTGCTTAAAGACTACGGCAATGTCTTCGGCTTCAGTGTCTCTCGTGAGTATTTGTGCCGGGTGGGGCAGGGAAAGCGAAACCGAAGCTGCTTAACAGCTAAGGGCCTGACTTTGTAGCTGCTACAGGACTTCAGTGGCAGTTTGCACATAGTTAGCCCCCAAATCATAAAAATTGCATGTTAGATCCATTAACCCAAGCCACAACAGCGATCTTAACTTATGTGCTAGTAAGTATGTTTACATAACTTGGGCCACGTTTTACTACTGGTGTAAATGGACATGACTCCAGTAACTTCATTAGAATTGCACCTTTTAAGGGATTGGTATCTTCATGCTGCCCCTAACACAGCATGCAATGGATGTTGTTCAGAGTCATCCCTTCCTGGGGTTTGTCTTTAGTCTTAAAGTCACAAAGCCCTAAAGCAGAACTGTACTTACAAACATACGACTTGTGTCCTGTAAACACCCCAAGAGAATTGATTAGGATTCCTCTGTGCAAGACCCCATCTGCTTTAACCTTCCTGTGGGTGGATTTAATGAGACTTACGTGGTCTGGCTGTTAGGGTGAGTCAGCAGAATAGTTAGTTCTGCTCTTCTATTCAGATTCTTATATCCTGACACCGAGTTACCGACCCGCTTGTGCCAGTGATCGTTTTGGCTCATTGATTTATTTTCCTGCTTAGAATTGTAAGCTACACAACAGTCTTTGTTTTCTCTATATGAGAAGTGTGTGGTGGATGCCTTTAGTATGTAAATAGCCCTATTATATGGCTAATTTACTGTCCCTCCCATCTACCTCCAAAATGTGGAGAACTGTGAATGTTGACTTTATCATATATACTTTTCTAGTGCCCAGATACTAAGGTGACTGGCACTCACCTAAGATAAGGAGTTAGATAATAAATGAATACCCCACGGCTGGATCATTGCTACTGGACTCTGAGTAGATGACCTGTGATATAATCTGTGCTTTGTCTTTATTGATGTAACAAGAAGATGATGTTTATTTGCTTGTTTCCAGTAGCATTCTCCGAGTGGTAGGTGTTATACAGACATACGGGAAGGCAGTCTTTGCCCCAAAGTGTTTACAGTCTCTAAAAGATATGTATTACTTGAAGTTGTGATATTCAATTTCAAATGAAAAATGTTTAAATGGAACAGGATAAATGTAACCCTCCCATTTACAGGCATTAAAATGTATTTGATTGATAAAGCCTCTATCACTGGATATGCTATCCAGGAACTTGTGCAAGATTTAAAAGTTAACCCAAATCTCTGACCCTTTGGTCCAAAGAAAATGAATCCAAAAAAGAAAAGGGAGGAGTTGATTGGAAAGAGGAGAAAGCCAAATGCCTAACTATGTGCTGGTAGTTACAAGAAGGCCTTGTGCTGAGCCTTGAAAATGCCACGGAGGAGTTCCAGAGGACATCCTCAGAGGCAGAGGAGTTCCACAGACAAGGTCCTCATGAACACCCTGTCTTGGCCCAGTTTATATGGAACCTCAGGATCAAGACTAAGGATAATCCAAATGATCTTCCTTGCCTGAAAAGTCATGTTTTAGGTCTAGATTGAGGGCCTTCTATATTAGCAACCAGACATAGCCAATTTCCAGTCTAGAATGCACATTCGTATAGCCCAGTTCTCTTGGATCATTAACTGCTTTCTTTAAACCAATTTTTAAAAATCGTCTTTGGAAAATGTGGTTCTATTTTTTTGTGCTCTGTAATTTTTAAAAGAACGACTGTTGAATGTTAATGATGATGCAGATTCTCAGACTGTAACCTGGGTGAATTGCATTCTGAATTTCCAGAGGATGGCTAGGCTTGAATTTCCAGTCTTCTTTTACACAACCTGTTCACCGCAAAACATGCGGTTAGTACCCACTGCCTTAACTGACCACTTAGAAGTATCTTCAAGACTTTGAGAACAATGACATTCATGTTGAAGTCCAGCTCTGCTGGGTAGCTTATTTTCGCTGGGACTTTGGGTGGTGTCTTTAGATCTACTTATCAAATGGATTTTTACTGCAGTAGGAATTTTCTGTACCAGTAGCTTGGAGGCTGTTGGCAAAATCCTGGCCCCAGACTTCCACAAATTCCTCTCTGAATGTTGTGACTTTCAGAAAAGGTTTAAAAGTGCTTGAGACTAAAAGACTTTAAAATGTCTCCTTTTGATACACGTATAATGCTTCTTTGTTTGTCTCTAGCAACCCAACAAAATCTCACATCACAAAATTCAGCACAGAAATAGACTTTATTGTCTGTCCCCTAGGCTGCCTCTGAGTTTATAATCCGTGGACAGAAGCTTATAGATGAGACTACACCCTTCTTTTGATCAAGTCCATTCCAATCAGTGTGAAATAAGTCATTCATACTGTGTTCCATGCTGACTGCCACAGGGTGTATCACAGTTTCCAGAGCACATGATAGCATAGGTGCTGGAACTAGGGGTCCTGCTGCACCCCCTGGCTTGAAGTAGTTTCCATTATATACAGAGTTTACAGTTTGGTTCAATGACTCTCAGTACCCCCAGTATACAAATTGTTCTAGCGTCCCTGCATGGTAGTGCTTCAAAATAACAATTTATAGTGGTCTCCATATGGATTCTAACTTGGTCTCTTATCTCATTCAGAATTTGACCTTATTCATTAAAATCTATCTATCTATATGAGCACCTCACAGTCTTTTGAAAAGAATTTATCCAATACTGTGGGGTAGGGAAGTAGAATTATCCCTGTTTTACAGAGGGGGAACTAGGGCACAGGAAGACTTAAGCCTGGTTTAAACCTAAAACGTAAGTCAACCTAGCTACATCGCTCAGGGCTGTGAAAAATTTCACAAGCTGTGCAATTTAGTTAGGTCAACCGAAGGTGTCTTCCGTCGACCTAGGTACTGCTTCTCAAGGGGGTGGATTTACTACAGTGATGGAAAAACCCCTTCCATTGCTGTCATAAGTGTTGTAGTTACAGCAGTGCTTGTAGTATGTACATAACTGTGGAGGGGTTTGGCCAGGGCTCGTCCCTCTCTGGAGTGGCGGGGAGCCACACTGCCTCGCTACTTCCTTCCAGCTGCTGACAGGGAATTAGCCTGGCTGCAGGAGTCTCTCACCGTGGCAGCAATAGAGGCAAATACAGACAGTCATTTGCGCCCAGCCTGTGGTTGGAGGCAATTACGAGCCAAGGGCTCAGGCCCTTAGACAGGAGCTGAGCAACAGTTTATGCAATTAGCAGGCCCAGGCCTGGGTTAGGGCGGGCAGCAGAGAGACAACGGCTCAGGCCCTCAGGGGGCTGAGCAAACGCAGGTAAACAACCAGCCCAGGCTCTTGGCTCAGAAGGGCCTGGGAGAGTTGGGTGGCAGGGGGGACGCAGGCCCACCCACTCCACGGTGTCCCAGCCCGGGGCTCTAACAGCGGCAGAAGACCAGCTGTTGAGTCAGTGGGGATCCTGGCCACAACACACTGACATAGGCTCTGGGTGTGCTGCCCCCGGGCTACTTCCAAACTCCCACTCTGGAGGTACCTGGGTCCAGACGGTGTCCTCCAGGGGGTCCAGCACCATGGGCTCCTCTGGATAACTGGCGAAGGGCAGGCCAGGCTGCTCCTCCAGGGGGTCAAGCACCATGGGGTCCTCTGGGTAACTGGCGAGGGGCAGGCTGGGCAGTTCCTCCAGGCTCTGGTTGGCATCGGGAGTCGGCAGGTCAGGCCAGTCCTCGGGTCCGCTGTAAGTCGTCGGGGTCTCCCAACTGGGAGGTAGGCCAGGGGTGTCTGGCCTCTCCACCAGCTGCCTCCCAAATGAGCTCTGGGGTCGGGCTTTTATACTTCCTGTCCTGCACCTTGACCTCTGGGGGACTTCCTGTCCTCCGCCCACTCTGGTGTCAAGAGGGGCTCGTCCCTCTCCGGGGCGGCGGGGAACCATACGGCCTCACTACAATACCCTAAGGGCTTGTCTACACAGGAGATTAATGCACAGTTAACTAGGATGTGAATTTAAAGCACAGTAGCTACTCCACACTGACTCTTTCAGGCAGTTTATCTTAATGCACTGCTGAAGTTTATTAAGCTAATGAGCACAAGGCATTCTTAGTGCACAGTAAGAATGTTTACATGGGAAGACAGAGCAGAGTAGCTAATGCAGGCTTTTTCCCTGCACAGACAAGCACTAAGTGATTGTGCTGGAACAAGGAATTGTATCTGAGTCTCACAAGTCCCAAGCTAGCACCCTAACCACTGGACCATCCTTCCCCTCTACAAGTAATGATTGAATCATCTAATAATACCTGCTTAAAGCAACTAGAAACAAGTGATGCAAATTGGGTCCAGAAACTTTGATCAGATTAAACAGAGAATCAAATTACCAAGTGATCGAATTGAAGCCTGTGTATGCTGCTGAGTAAGTGGCTATGTATTGCTTTTACATTATTTTATTCTTGGGTGAACTACAAAATTACAAAGATTGTGTTTGCTTACAGATACCACAAGGCAGCCAAGAGTCGGAGAAGTGAATGGCAAAGGTCAGTGTATTGCACTTGTGTGTATTGTCAGATTAGGCAGGGCTACTGCTCTGAGAATTCTGGACGGCGTTTCCTGCTATATAAAAGCTTGCAGAACCTGAGAGGAGTAGCCAGTTTTGCTGGTAGACAATGAAGAGCAAACAAGGCTTGTAACCAATAGATAAGTACATGTTTGAGCAAGTTTTGTTGTTTATGGGCACGTTGTGTGAAAGTCAGTTGTGGGGAAGTCAGACCTTATTTACTTAGCATTTATGAAGTGTATTTACTTAGTACGTGTCCAGTAACAGTGTTTTACACTTACATAGGACCTTTCATTCTGAATGATCCCAAAGGGTCTTATAAACTGAAGATACAAACTATACACAGGGATCACTTCACCTTCAAATGAAATGCAGCTGCCACTGTTGTAGGAGGTAGCAGCTGTGTAATAGCACACAGCAACCTTACACAACAGTTTAGGACAGGATGTGCCGAAGTGCTGAGTACTCAGCAGCTCTGATTAACTTCAGTGGGAGTTACTTTTGAAAATTAGGCCACTTAATTTAGGTACCTACCAGTGGATTTAAGAGTGAAACTCTAGACACCCAGTTTTGAAAATCTAGATCTTAAAGTATCAGAGGGGTAGCTGTGTTAGTCTGGATCTGTGAAAGCGGCAAAGAGTCCTGTGGCACCGTCTAGACTAACAGACGTATTGGAACATAAGCTTTTGTGCATGCATCTAAAGAAGTGGGTATTCACCCACAAAAGCTTATGCTCTAATACGTCTGTTAGTCTAGAGGTGCCATAGATCTTAAAGGCCACTACTAATAGTAAGGCTCTGGATTTCATCCCTGATCCAAGAGACCTTGCCTCCAGTAGCACAGAATAGAACCCGGAGCCCCTCCCAAAAAGCATTCTAGGGCCATTGTTTTACTACTGACTTGGGGGGAACCGTGTAATTTAATTCAAGTGCCAGAGCAACTGAGGCTTAAATACAGTGACATTAGAGTCAACCCAGCACCAAAAAGCATCTGAAATGTCTTACTGGTGCCTTTATGCCTGGATAGCTCAAAAAGGTCCACATGAGATTTGTACCTACTTTCCCAAAGGAAAGCTTACCTTTCAACTGAGAATAAGAAATTTCAGCCGGGGTGGGGGACTGGGGGACACAATAAGCCTCTAAAAATAGGCACTTAGCCTGAAATGACTTCTCATCTACTACTGTAGTGTGTTGTAAGCAGGGCACCGTAATGAGAGGGGACACTGGAGATCTGGAGAATAGAAGAGGCAACGTAAACAGCAGCGACAGTATATCTGGCCAGTTATTAAAGATGTATTGGAAATAACTACATACTATGAGCCGGGTTCGGGGATCCATTGTGTTTCTGATTGTGGTAACCAAGAGCCAAATTTTTAAATTTGAGTGCCTGAAAACTAGGCACCTAAATAAGCACTTAGTTGCCTAACATAGGCATTTAGGTGCTTCAGTACATTTTAAGTCCCCAAATGTGCACACTTGGCCCTGAGCCTTTATCTTGTTCTAAGTCAGATGAAAGCTGCACATTGATATAGATTTGTTTTTCAATATTGCTGGATCTAGAGTACCACTTTGTGACCAGAGAACAAATGCAGAAAGAAATTGATGCTGGCGAATTCATTGAGCATGCGGAGTTCTCTGGAAACATGTATGGAACAAGGTATGTAACTGTTACACTGTATCCAATAGCTCATGTGGGCTGCAGATTGACGTTTACTGGCTACTTGTGTTCTGCCCTGAGATGATGGGGAAATATTTTAACATGCCATGACACTATTCTCTCCCTAGTCTAAGCTTTTCACTCTGGCAGCATGTCTGCTATTAATTTTATTCTGTCACTAGTAATTGGTGACATTCACCCTTGTGCAAAAGGTGAGTATCGGGCGTGTGCAACACTCACATTTTGCTTAAGCCCCAAGATGTGAGTGCAAGATGGTTCATAGTGCTCATGCTGGCCCTTCACAGAGGTGAAATTTCACTCATACAGAATGTTTACAGTGCTCTCCATCTTCAAAGTGCTCTACAAAGATTAATTAAACAAAGTGGGACTTAGATTCTGCATTCACTCCCTGTGTTATCCAGTGGCCTGAGTGTGATCAGATCAGTGGCGAAAGGAAGTGACACATGCCTCAGTCTGGTACGGTAACACTTACAAATTAATAAATTCTCTCTGGTGTTGGCACCCTGTGATTAGTATTAAAGTGTAAAGTGGATTTTAAAATAGCATTGTTACTGGCATAAAAGTGATCATCAGTGAAACACTAATTAAGCTGCAATATAAATTTAAAAGTCAGATATCTTACATAATACAAAATCTCTGACAATTATTACAGCACAGATTAGATCCGAATGGCAAAAGTAAAATACGTTCAATTGGTTACTAAGATACCAAATCAATAATAGAATGAGTTGATTTTAAAATTGCAAATACCTTTTAAGGGTGAACTGAAATGCTTTAAAAATAAATGCAAAAAAAGTCTAAATTTCCAAATGACTAGTGATTTGGAGGGCTGAACTTGACAGTTTAAGGAGACCTGCCTTCTAGAGATTGGGTATTCAGCATGTTCTGAAAATCAGGCCCCTTTAAGGTGTCTCAATAATTGGGGCAACCAAAATCACACATCCCTTTTAAAAATTAGTCTTAAGATTCTGAGTGATCAGACTGCATTATCAGAATATAAAATTACAGATCAATACATTTTAAAACAAAACAAATGAAAATGATTTTCTCTCACTTTACAGTATCTGCCTACACTTCAGTTCTAGTTTCTGTGTCTCTTGAAAGATTAGACATCATTTCCCTAAAGCAACATAAGGAAGGCAGCTTCCTGCTTTACTCTAGCTTTTCTGATGTCATTGGCTTGCACAGGAGGAACACGTAATCTTGACCTTCGATCTCAGCCGTTAGAAACCTTCCAACTCACCTTGAAGGAGAAACCAATTTCAAGCCTCTTGAATCCATGGATTCAATCTGCTAAGGAGAGTTTGCTTTTGAACAGGATTTTCTCTTTAATCCAGGAAGCCCCTCTTCTGGGATATCTCTCAGGGAGCAAGTTGAGCTTACCAGCCCCAAATGGCAATGGCTGCTGTTTGGTCAGGAGATTATAACGCTAACTCCTCTGCCTGGGGAGGCATTGGGCATAGGCCAGACAAAGATGTGGCACTCAGTTGGGTGTGATCGGTGTCAACTTTTAGGACCCTATCTGCTCATACATGAGTTACCAACTAAAGATTAAAAGACAAATGTCATCACAGAGTGAAATGCAGAGTTTACTTTTTGCTCTTTTATGTCAGTTTAACTCTTTTCTGAATAAAATAGGAAGGAGAAGGGGAACAGTGGAGAAAGAACTGGGGAAAAGATAGTGAGTTGAACTGGGATGGCAAGAAGAGCAGGAGAAGCCAGTGAAACAGGAGTTCTGTTTCCTCCCCTCTGTGGAGGAGGTGGTTGTGAAGAGCTCTGACTGTGCCACCGTGTTCTGCCATCCCGTTTCGATCTCCAGCACGAGCGCAGTTGCACATTCAGTGCGTTTCTGGAAGAATTCAGTGGCCAGGTGTTAGTTAGGGACTAGCTGTGGCTCTTCCCTCTGAGTCCGAGCCCCAGCCCAATGATAGGGGTGCTGTGCTGAAACAAAATGGAGGGCCTTTCTGTTTGTGGTTCTTAATGATCTCAAGGCATTTTTTTCTATGGTTAGAGGTGGGTCTCTGGCTGAATTCCCACTCTGGTAACACATCTTGGCTACTTTTGTGTCCCCTGCAGTTTCAGTTAGATCAGTGGTTCTCCATCTTTTTGGGCTCAGGACCCATTTGTAAATGTTTATGGCCTGTCACGACCCAGTAAATAGTCTGGGGGTGGAGGTCCAGGGGTGGTTTTGGTCGGATCCTGCCCCTGCGGGGAGGTCAAGGGGTGGTTGGGTCCTGTCGGTCACTCACCCCATAGTGGTGGCTCCTGTGCTATGAGGCTGGCAAGGCATGGCTGTCATCTTCGGGTGTTGCAACTTATGGGGTTGCAGCATCGCTCAGGTTTGGCCTCGCCCTTCTTGACTGGACCAAATATGTGGAAATGGAGCTGTGACCTGGCTCATGGGGTTGCGGTGCCACTCACTCAAAGTTAGCCCACCTGGACTCCCGTTGTCATGATGGCTGAGTGGTGCTGGGACGCCAGAGGTTGCAATACCTGGATCAGGGCGGCAAGCCCAACCAGCCCCGTGGGACAGGAGCTGCCATGCGACCCTTTGAAACATTCTGATGATCCAATTTTGGGTCTGGACTGACAGGTTAAGAAACCCTGAGATAAACTAAGTATTCTTCCCTTCCTGTCCTAATCTGTTTACATCACGTTAATATGCCCTACTATACAGCTGTCATGGTGCACCCCAGAGGCAACTGCATCTTAGCACTGGGGAAGTATGTCCTGTATGTGCGCTATATCGGTGTGTGTTTAGGCACACTTCAGAATTAAAGGTGCTTTGTAGTAGTAACACATTTCCCCTCAGGTTTTCCCAGCATAGAGACGAAGGTTTGTTTTCTCCATTTCCCCCCAAAATGCTCCAGACATGATCCATCAGACTATTTAGGGCTGGGTCCTAAGCGGTACTGAGCATCCACAGTTGTCAGTGCAGTTACCGTTGCTCAGAACCCGGCATGTCCTAGAAGTGCTAAGCGATGTTACTGTTCGTTGTTGTGCTGCAGGATCATCTAGGAACCCCAGTCCTGGAGCAGGACCCTGTTGTGTTAGGTGCTGTACAAATACAGAATATAACTCCGGCAATGCCTGTGTCTGATATCTGAATGACGATATACCAGGAACTGCTACTGCAGAATGGTGCTGTTCACAGCTGGGTTGAGCACAGGCCTTTTCATCCAATGACTTTGAATGTGACTCAGTCCTGGGATCATTAAACTTGACCAAGAGCAATGTAAGGGCCACCTCCTTCTCTAGAATACTTCCATTCCCTCCCGCTAGTTTTCTTGGAGATTTAGGGTATGTCTACACTACGAAATTAGGTCGAATTTATAGAAGTCGGTTTTTTAGAAATCGGTTTTATATATTCGAGTGTGTGTGTCCCCACAGAAAATGCTCTAAGTGCATTAAGTGCATTAACTCGGCGGAGCGCTTCCACAGTACCGAGGCAAGCGTCGACTTCCGGAGCGTTGCACTGTGGGTAGCTATCCCACAGTTCCTGCAGTCTCCGCTGCCCATTGGAATTCTGGGTTGAGATCCCAATGCCTGATGGGGCTAAAACATTGTCGCGGGTGGTTCTGGGTACATATCGTCAGCCCCCCATTCCCTCCCTCCCCCCCGTGAAAGCAAGGGCAGACAATCATTTCGCGCCTTTTTTCCTGAGTTACCTGTGCAGACGCCATACCACGGCAAGCATGGAGCCCGCTCAGGTAACTGTCACCCTATGTCTCCTGGGTGCTGGCAGACGCGGTACGGCATTGCTACACAGTAGCAGCAACCCCTTGCCTTGTGGCAGCAGACGGTACAGTACGACTGGTAGCCGTCATCGTCATGTCTGAGGTGCTCCTGGTCGCCTCTGTGAGGTCTATCAGGAGCGCCTGGGCAGACATGGGCACAGGGACTAAATTTGGAGTGACTTGAGCAGGTCATTCTCTTTAGTCCTGCAGTCAGTCCTATTGAACCGTCTTCTGGTGAGCGGGCAGGCGATACGGACTGCTAGCAGTCGTACTGTACCATCTTCTGCCGAGCAGCCATGAGATGTGGATGGCATGCAGTCCTTCTGCACCGTCTGCTGCCAGCCAAAGATGTAAAAGATAGATGGAGTGGGTCAAACCAAGAAAAAGACCAGATTTGTTTTGTACTCATTTGCCTCCTCCCCTGTCTAGGGGACTCATTCCTCTAGGTCACACTGCAGTCACTCACAGAGAAGGTGCAGCGAGGTAAATCTAGCCATGTATCAATCAGAGGCCAGGCTAACCTCCTTGTTCCAATAACAACGATAACTTAGGTGCACCATTTCTTATTGGAACCCTCCGTGAAGTCCTGCCTGAAATACTCCTTGATGTAAAGCCACCCCCTTTGTTGATTTTAGCTCCCTGAAGCCAACCCTGTAAGCCGTGTCGTCAGTCGCCCCTCCCTCCCTCAGAGCAACGGCAGACAATCGTTCCGCGCCTTTTTTCTGTGCGGACGCCATACCAAGGCAAGCATGGAGGCCGCTCAGCTCACTTTGGCAATTAGGAGCACATTAACCACCACACGCATTATCCAGCAGTATATGCAGCACCAGAACATGGCAACGCGATACCGGGCGAGGAGGCGACGTCAGCGCGGTCCCGTGAGTGATCAGGACATGGACACAGATTTCTCTGAAAGCATGGGCCCTGACAATGCATGCATCATGGTGCTAATGGGGCAGGTTCATGCTGTGGAACGCCGATTCTGGGCTCGGGAAACAAGCACAGACTGGTGGGACCGCATAGTGTTGCAGGTCTGGGACGATTCCCAGTGGCTGCGAAACTTTCGCATGCGTAGGGGCACTTTCATGGAACTTTGTGACTTGCTTTCCCCTGCCCTGAAGCGCATGAATACCAAGATGAGAGCAGCCCTCACAGTTGAGAAGCGAGTGGCGATAGCCCTGTGGAAGCTTGCAACGCCAGACAGCTACCGGTCAGTTGGGAATCAATTTGGAGTGGGCAAATCTACTGTGGGGGCTGCTGTGATGCAAGTAGCCCACGCAATCAAAGATCTGCTGATATCAAGGGTAGTGACCCTGGGAAATGTGCAGGTCATAGTGGATGGCTTTGCTGCAATGGGATTCCCTAACTGTGGTGGGGCTATAGACGGAACCCATATCCCTATCTTGGCACCGGAGCACCAAGCCGCCGAGTACATAAACCGCAAGGGGTACTTTTCGATAGTGCTGCAAGCTCTGGTGGATCACAAGGGACGTTTCACCAACATCAACGTGGGATGGCCGGGAAAGGTGCATGATGCTCGCATCTTCAGGAACTCTGGTCTGTTTCAAAAGCTGCAGGAAGGGACTTTATTCCCAGACCAGAAAATAACTGTTGGGGATGTTGAAATGCCTATATGTATCCTTGGGGACCCAGCCTACCCCTTAATGCCATGGCTCATGAAGCCGTACACAGGCAGCCTGGACAGTAGTCAGGAGCTGTTCAGCTACAGGCTGAGCAAGTGCAGAATGGTGGTAGAATGTGCATTTGGACGTTTAAAGGCGCGCTGGCGCAGTTTACTGACTCGCTTAGACCTCAGCGAAACCAATATTCCCACTGTTATTACTGCTTGCTGTGTGCTCCACAATATCTGTGAGAGTAAGGGGGAGACGTTTGTGGCGGGGTGGGAGGTTGAGGCAAATCGCCTAGCTGCTGGTTATGCGCAGCCAGACACCAGGGCTGTTAGAAGAGCACAGGAGGGCGCGATACGCATCAGAGAAGCTTTGAAAACCAGTTTCATGACTGGCCAGGCTACGTTGTGAAAGTTCTGTTTGTTTCTCCTTGATGAAACCCCCCGCCCCTTGGTTCACTCTACTTCCCTGTAAGCTAACCACCCTCCCCTCCTCCCTTTAATCATTGCTTGCAGAGGCAATAAAGTCATTTCTGCTTCACAGTCATGCATTCGTTATTCATTCATCACACAAATAGGGGGATGACTACCAAGGTATCCCAGGAGGGGTGGTGGAGGAGGGAAGGAAAATGCCACACAGCACTTTAAGCACAGCACTTTAAAAGTTTACAACTTTAAAATTTATTGAATGACAGCCTTCTTTTTTTTGGGCAATCCTCTGTGGTGGAGTGGCTGGTTGGCCGGAGGCCCCCCCACCGCGTTCTTGGGCGTCTGGGTGTGGAGACTATGGAATTTGGGGAGGAGGGCGGTTGGTTACAGAGGGGCAGCAGTGGCAGTCTGTGCTCCAGCTGCCTTTGCTGCAGCTCAGCCATACACTGGAGCATACTGGTTTGGTCCTGCAGCAGCCTCAGCATTGAATCCTGCCTCCTCTCATCACGCTGCCGCCACATTTGAGCTTCAGCCCTGTCTTCAGCCCGCCACTTACTCTCTTCAGCTCTCCACCTCTCCTCCCGGTCATTTTGTGCTTTCCTGCACTCTGACATTATTTGCCTCCACGCATTCGTCTGTGCTCTGTCAGTGTGGGAGGACAGCATGAGCTCGGAGAACATTTCATCGCGAGTGCGTTTTTTTTTCTTTCTAAGCTTCACTAGCCTCTGGGAAGGAGAAGACCCTGTGATCATTGAAACACATGCAGCTGGTGGAGAAAAAAAAAGGGACAGCGGTATTTAAAAAGACACATTTTATAAAACAGTGGCTACACTCTTTCAGGGTAAACCTTGCTGTTAACATTACATACATAGCACATGTGCTTTCGTTACAAGGTCGCATTTTGCCTCCTCCCACCGCGTGACTACCCCCTCAACCTTCTCCCCTCCCTGTGGCCAACAGCGGGGAACATTTCTGTTTAGCCACAGGCAAACAGCCCAGCAGGAATGGGCTCCTCTGAGTGTCCCCTGAAGAAAAGCACTCTATTTCAACCAGGTGACCATGAATTATATCTCACTCTCCTGAGGATAACACAGAGAGATAAAGAACGGATGTTGTTTGAATGCCAGCAAACATACACTGCAATGCTTTGTTCTACAATGATTCCCGAGTACGTGTTACTGGCCTGGAGTGGTAAAGTGTCCTACCATGAAGGACGAAATAAGGCTGCCCTCCCCAGAAACCTTTTGCAAAGGCTTTAGGACTACATCTAGGAGAACCGCAAATGCCAGGGCAAAGTAATCCTTTCACATGCTTGCTTTTAAACCATGTATAGCATTTTAAAAGGTACACTCACCAGAGGTCCCTTCTCCGCCTGCTGGGTCCAGGAGGCAGCCTTGGGTGGGTTCGGGGGTACTGGCTCCAGGTCTAGGGTGAGAAACAGTTCCTGGCTGTCGGGAAAACCGGTTTCTCCACTTGCTTGCTGTGAGCTATCTACAACCTCCTCCTCATCATCATCTTCTTCGTCCCCAAAACCTACTTCCGTATTGCTTCCATCTCCATTGAAGGAGTCAAACAACACGGCTGGGGTAGTGGTGGCTGAACCCCCTAAAATGGCATGCAGCTCATCATAGAAGCGGCATGTTTGGGGCTCTGACCCAGAGCGGCTGTTCGCCTCTCTGGTTTTCTGGTAGGCTTGCCTCAGCTCCTTCAGTTTCACGCGGCACTGCTTCGGGTCCCTGTTATGGCCTCTGTCCTTCATGCCCTGGGAGATTTTCAGAAAGGTTTTGGCATTTCGAAAACTGGAACGGAGTTCTGATAGCACGGATTCCTCTCCCCAAACAGCGATCAGATCCCGTACCTCCCGTTCGGTCCATGCTGGAGCTCTTTTGCGATTCTGGGACTCCATCATGGTCACCTGTGCTGATGAGCTCTGCATGGTCACCTGCAGCTTGCCACGCTGGCCAAACAGGAAATGAGATTCAAAAGTTCGCGGTTCTTTTCCTGTCTACCTGGCCAGTGCATCTGAGTTGAGAGCGCTGTCCAGAGCGGTCAGAATGGAGCACTCTGGGATAGCTCCCGGAGGCCAATACCATCGAATTGTGTCCACAGTACCCCAAATTCGAGCCGGCAACGTCGATTTAAGCGCTAATCCACTTGTCAGGGGTGGAGTAAGGAAATCGATTTTAAGAGCCCTTTAAGTCGAAATAAAGGGCTTCATTGTGTGGACGGGTGCAGGTTTAAATCGATTTAACGCTGCTAAATTCGACCTAAAGTCCTAGTGTAGACCAGGGCTTAAAATCATCTAGTGGCAACCTTTGTATAGACATAAACTTATTTCCAAACTATTCCCATCCCTTCAGAAACAGCTCAGGCTTCAGTGCAGACCTAGGGCCAAATTCAAGCCTGGTGTAAGCGAGTGCAACTTTGTTGATTTCATCCACTGAGCTGCTTATGCAGAATCTGAATTTTCCCCTTCATCTTTTCTCCCTAGATATTGCCACCCTTTATGCACTCTGCTTTGCCCATCTGTATACATTAAGGAGAAGATATTTTAAGTCCAACAGCTGCTTTGCTTCACCAGATATTTGTAGGTTCATTTCTACTGCACACCTTTGGCCATCTTATGAATGCAAGGATTGCCCAGTACTGAAATAGGTGACTATACTTACCTCACCTAGTCTGGTGATTAGTCTATCTCCAACAACTGCTAATGCTGTGCTGTGGATACAAGTTTCTTCCTGCCCCATGTCCTACTGGCTTATGCCCTGAAACATGCTGATGCCATTCTTCATACAATATTGTACATTTCTAGAACACCTTTAATCCCAAAGCAATAAAATCAATACTGAAACGCAGCCTTCTTTGAGCTGCAGCCAGCTGGTGCATTCACCATGCTGGCAGGGAAAGGAAATGTTAACTGAGGAAATCAGGAAAAACCTCAAGGCTTACTAAAAAGTGTGGTAGAAGAAAACAGAGGATTTAAGGCCATATCCAAGAGATCTAATCCTTTCATGACTGAAAGCTTTTTCCAAGACATTTTGGTGATGGGAAAGATATAAGAACCTGAACCGAAGAGAAATTAACTTACTCCAGGAGGTGTCAGTCATTTTGAAAAACAAACTCATCCACAAACACCGCTTCTCTGATCAGAAGGGCTAAGATTTTTCAGACTAATGGTTCTGGATGCTTAATTGGAGACCACTTAAAGGAGCCTGTGTTCCAGAAAGTGCTGAGCACCCACTCTCTGAGAATCGGGCCCCTATTAGATGCCTCAAGGTAGGCACCCAAACTCAGTAGTCCCTTTGGAGAACCTTGATCAAGATCTTTGCTGAGTGTGTGCATGCCACTCTAGGGTCCAGTAATGTGAGGTGCTGAGAAATCACTGGGAGTGGAAGAGACAGTACCTTAGGCATCTCGTGTGCTTAAATCTGAGGATGAGGGGGGAAAGCAACTCTGCATGGTTAGCGTTAGAGCAATTTTTGTGGATTTGTGACAGAAAGCGGTCTAAGCCATAGCTCTAGTTGCTAACATCTTCCGCAGTTTGGGGAGGAAGAAAGGAGAGCTGCAATCCAGCACAGTCAGTGAGATCAACATGCAAGGCAAGCTCGTAGATCTCCGTGTTTGTATAGTGTGCAGCAATGATGATAAGGTGGGTTTAAAGGCTTTAGGACAGGATTAATGTGGAAATCCCAAGAATAACTTTGAAAGCCGGGACTCGCGTCACCTGCTGCTGCAGGATGGGTCTTGCTCGCGTCACCTGCTGCTGCAGGATGGGTCTTGCTCGCGTCACCTGCTGCTGCAGGATGGGTCTTGCTCGCGTCACCTGCTGCTGCAGGATGGGTCTTGTTAAATCCGTTCCTAACTCCAGCTTTCTGCTCCAATTTGTTAAAACCATTCTGGGAAGAGAAAGTGTCCTCCTTTTCCATCTGTCCTAGGTATTTGTCTGGCCCCCATCACCTCACCATCTTTAATGTATCCTCACTGCACCCCTGGCTATTATCCCTATTTTGCAGGTAGGGAACTGAGGCGCAGAGGGGCCAGATGGCTTGCCCAAGGTCACACAAGAAGTCTGTGTTGCAGCAGGGAGTTGAACCCAGGTCTTGCAAGTCCCAGGTTAGCACCCTCACCACTGGGCCATTCTTCCTCTCCATTTACCGAACAGGAGCTTGTTTTGCGTGTGTGTCTGTGATCGGTACGTGTGGCTTGAAGTTAGACTTCTGGATATGAGGTCTGTCATTCTGAAATCATGGCAGTAATCACTGCAAACCTGTTAAAAGGAAACAGTTAACTCTCTCTCTCCTCTTTTCCACCATTCCCCAGCTGGTACAACACCTCACGGTTCCTTCGGCCTGAGATGGGGTTTGTCCTCCAGGCTTAAGCTTAGGTGGAGCTATACAATGCTGCTCCCTCCATCTCTGTGACGTGGGGCAGGTATGACTGGAAAGTGCTGGGGGAAAGGGAACTGAAAGAAGAAGTGGGGGAGAGAACTGGGTGGGAGTTAGTGGGAGAAATGAACAGGGCAAAGGAGAAATATAATACCCAAGTAAAATGAGACACAGGAAGAGGAGGTGGAAAGGGTTGGGGAGAGAGCAAGGGGAAAACAAACAGGAAACAGATGATGATTTAAAAAAAAGTGCTCTTGTATAGCACTCTTCCATCCATAGATCTCAAAGAGCAGTCCCAAGAAGATTAGAATCATTATCCCCATTTTGATGATGGGGAAACTGAAGTGTAGAGGGAAGAAATGTGTTCCTGATAGTCACCCCGCAGGCCCGTGTCAGAGCTCAGTGAAGAACCCAAGACTTCCGAGTCCCACTCCAGTGCTCTAGCCATAGCCAGCACGCTGACAGGTAGGGAACACCGTGGTGGAGAATCCCAGGTGCAGATTGGTTAGAGGTGGGGTCCTCCAATCAAAGCAAGTTTGGAACCACAGTGCTAATGGGTTTCACTGCTCCCGGTGGAATCAGAGCTCCTCTAGGGAGACCTTGCTTCCACCACGATATCCTTGGCTTAGGGGGACACCCCAGCTCAGGAAACAGGATTCCCTAGGAATCATGCCCCACACCTGGCTGGAGTGAGCTCACCTCATCAATCCTGCTGTGGGCAGCCGTGGCTTCACTGTCCTAATTGGCTGCTATCCTTCAGGTGTTGTGGCAGAAGAGGGTCTTGGGAGAGGAGGAGGTGATAGGGACTGAGCAGATCCGTTCAGGGAGATGACCCATGTGTAGGAGGCACACACATTGGTAGGAGGAGTGGACAGATGGGCTGGCAATCCATGGTAGCAGTAACCCAGGTAAGGAAGAGTATGATCATTCGCATCCAAACCGTACACCCAGGGAGAGGACGTGAGCTGTACATAGACAATGGCGGGACAAAACCAAACAGCCACACCCATCCCCTAGAGGTTGTTTAGTCTTATCTTGTCTCTGTAGTGCTATCCTGACAGTTTGGCCATGTAACTGAGAATCAAAATATGGACAGAACGTTAGCCAGGTCACCCGTCTACTGAAAGGTCAGTTGGATTTTTTTCAGTCAGGTTCTTTTAAGTCATGAAGTTCATATGCAGTAAGTGTGTTACTGGTTAGAACTGGGAGAATTATTCTTACTGTAACAATTTAGGAGTATATATGCTGCATTCTAGCACACATCTTGTTAGGATTGGTCACTTTTACATAAAAAGGGCATGCTGTACGGGCAGATACTGACAAAAGGAATGCTTGGTCACACTCTCTCTCTCTCTCTCTCTCATATTAGCAGAGTATATGACAGTCCACACTCAGCTTGTAATCAGATAGCGGACTGGACTAGTGGACTTCTTGAGGTCCCTTCCAGCCCTACATTTCTCTGATTCTATGAGCACCTGTAGGGAGGGCCTGGGATCAGGGTTGGGTGGGGCGAAGGTTCACAAGAGGAGCTACAGCGTAACCTCTGCGGGAGAGTATGGAGGCCTTCTCTAAAGAGCTGCTCTTTCTCTTATCCTCTGTTGCCACCATGTGGCCATTCAGTTTAACTAATTTAAACCCTCCGTAACCACCTCAAAACATTTTCTCAGGTTTTCTCCTCTTATTCTTTATCATTTGTAGTACATGAGTGCCTAGGAGCCCCAGCCACGGACCAGAACCCCATTGCGCTAGGTGCTGTACAAACACAGATGGTCCCTGCCCCAAACAGCTAACACCCATTTATTATAGGATTCAGATTAGTTTTTCTTTATGCATTCAGATATTTGGAGTCACTGCTCTTTAGATGTTAGTTTGTTCTAAGAGGATCATAGAGAGAGTTTGGAGGGAAGGTCAAAGCATATCAGATGCAGCCCACAGTGTGGAAAGCATATGATTATCTTTGCCAGTCCAAAGGAAAAATATTTTAATACTCACCTTCTTAACTTGGAATCTTCCAAGACTGGCAAATCCTATGAAGGGTACTGCACTCTTCAAGAGAATTTATTAGTATGGAAACTTGTGACCTCTTATAGAGAAGTAACCTTGTTCAGTGGCTTTTCCTCCTTAGTCCAAGCATCTGTGATTCATAAGATTCCAGGGCCAGAAGAAGACCGCTGTGATCATCTAGTCTGATCTCCTGTATAACACAGGCCAGAGAACTCGTCTTCTCCCTCCCCCCCCCCAAAGAATTCCTAGAGCAAATTTTTTAGAAAAAGCATTGTCATTGTTTAAAAATGGTCAGTGGTGAACAATCCATAAAAACCCTTGGTAAATGGTCCCACCAGTTAATTATTTTCACTGGTAAAAATGTATGTCTTATTTACATTCTGAATTTGTTTAGTTTCAACTTCCAGCCATTGGATCATGTTCTACCTTACTTTTGATGTTGTCACCCTTCTAGTCCTTCGGGATTTATATGGGCTTTGGTGTTTGAGCCTCTCCAAAGGAATGATGTCATTGCTAGCCTGTAACTAAGATGCTCTGTGTTCACCTCAGTGGAATGCAATGCCATCTCGTTAGCCATTTCCACACACTTAATTTCTCTTGAAGTAGCAATATGCACTTGTAGGAAGCTCTAGGCACCTATATGATTTTGTAAGAATATGTCAAATTCTGTGGTCTCAGCCCACAAAATCTAATTCTCCAGAGCCCACCATAAAACTCCTCCCTCTTTGCCAGCCCCTTGTGAGCAATTTCTTCCCTCAGCCCCGCTTTTAGGGCGAGCCTGGGAGAGAATAGTGATGCCTTCCAGCTTGCCCTGTAGGCCAACATATGTGGGCCCTCTTGGAAAAGGGGGTGGAGGAAATCTAGAGTTGTGGACCAGTCACTGAGACAGTCCTGCTATCCGCCCCCTCCTGTTGAATCCAAGGAGCTGTGACCAAGTGCCGTGGCAAATTAGAGCTGCTACAGTTTCCCATGAGGAGATAGAGGCAACGATTAACGAAATGTATACAGATAATAATGCCTGGTTGTTATATAGCACTTCTATCTGTAGATCTCAAACTGCTTTCCAAAGGCGGTCAGTATCATCATCCCAATTTTACAGCTGGGGAAGCTGAGGCAGAGAGGGAAAGTGACATGCCCAAGGTCTCCTAGCAGGGTAAGCTAGGAATTGAACGCAGGCCTCCTGAGTCCCCCGTATAGTGCCCTATCCACTAGGCTACACTGCCTCCGTAACTGAACTTTCCACTTCTAGTTCACTCACCTCCCTCTTTTGACCATATGGCACCTCTAGGGACGGGGGCTGGGAAATATCAATGCAAAAGAGAACGTACGTGGTGCAGCATAGCTTGTGAACGGTTCTTAATGCACGAGGAGTAGATAGCTAAGATTCCCTGGCTCTCCCTGCACGGCATCCCCACCCCAGTGTGTCCAGTAACCAACTTCTTCTCTCCCTTCCCCCCAGTAAAGCTGCGGTGCAGGCCGTGCAGGCACGGAACCAGATCTGCATCCTGGATATCGACTTGCAGGGCGTCAAGAACATTAAGAAAACTGACCTGAAACCAATCTACATCTCTGTCCAGACTCCGTCCATCGAAGTCTTGGTGAGTGAGCCTCCTTTCCCATGTCCTCACTGTGCTCTTACTAGGGGAAAGTTACCTTGGGGTCTTTCCAGCAATAGCAGAAGATGATCCAATTAATGGATGAATTCAGTGAGGCGATGAGAATTTCCTGCCTCTTCTCCATTGATCAATTTACTATATAACCCACAAAACAGGTAATGGCTTTTGATCAAACCTCTGCCTATCCTCTCTCCTCCCTGCTCCTTGTGTCTCATACTCCTCCTCTTGGCTTTGTGCATGCTCATCCTTCTCTTTAAAAGGCTCCATCTCCCATGCTCCTTCCCTTGCGTCTCTCGGATCCTCTTCATCGTCTGATCTTCCCATCTGCCATGTGTCTCAGCACCTGTTGTGCTTGAAGCTGTGTTCATGTTAGTTTGCAAGATCCCTAGGGCATGGCCTTCGTCGGTCCATGTTTAGGAAAGCTTTGTGTTTATGATGCTCTCTGGGGTTATGAGGACTTCAGTATCCATCTATTACAGTAAATCCTAGTGAGGCTGGTATCATGGGGTAACACCATGGAACTCTTATCTGTGGTCTCACGTGTCCCCATATATTAATGAATGTATCCCCATAGCTTCCCTGTGAGGTTGAGAAGTGTTGTCACCCCAATTTTGTAGATGGGGAACTGAGACGGGGATAAAAGTGACTCGCCCAAGGTCACACGGGGAGTCTATGAGAGAGTCAAAGATTGAACCCAGATCTCCTGAGTCCCAGTCCAGTGACTCCGACAAATCATCCTTCCCAGACTTTTTCTTCTGTTTTGTTACCCTAAGTCCATTATGTGAGTGGTGTTCCTCCTTAAGAAGAAGAAAGGCCAGGCAATGAGCTGCTGTCGCAAAATCAGCTCCAAAGTGTTGCCTAACAGCTGCCATTTATACCTCCATGGCTGTTCCTTTGGCAGTAGTATTGCAAGAAGCAGCATAGTCCAGTGGCCTGAGCACAGGGCTGGAAGCCGGGAGCTCCTGAGGTCAAATCCCAGTTTGGACAGATTTGCATCGTGGCCTGGGGCAAGTCACTTAATGGTTTGCTAAAGTGGGGATATACTTCCTTACATCCCATGGTATATGTGAGGCTTTATTGGTCAAGGCCAGTACCCACAGCCGGCCTCTTGATCTATTCCTTCTGGCCAATGGACAGCATGGTGTCACCTGGCTCCAGAAACAGCCATGTGCCAGGGGAGAGGGTGTTTGAAATGACTTCCTGTTCTCTGCCTGTGGCACATGACGGTCTAGTCTTCTGTGGGCTGTGACCCTTTGGTCTCATTCCAGTTGTTGGGTTTAGTGTATGGGTGCTGGGTGGCGTTGGTGGCCTGTGATCTACAGGAGGTCAGGCTAGACAGTTGGGTGGTCCTTTCTGGCCATAAATATGAGGTCTGTGACTTGGAGCCTTATGAGGGTGGTTGTGATGGCAGTAATGGGACTTGGGGGCCGGAGCCGACTGTTCTCCTCCAAACGGCGCTTGGAATGTGCATTTACACTTGTCGTCTTTGGGCTGTAGGAAAAGAGACTGCGTGACAGACAGACAGAGTCCGAAGAGAGTCTCCAGAAGCGGCTGAACGCAGCTCGTGTAGACATGGAACTTAGTAAGTACAGGAAGCTCGCACAGACACAACCTCAGCGGGGACTGGGGGCGGGGGGGGAAGGCACGTCAGAGTTTTTGGCGCCTTGTCATACACAGATGTCTGGCTCCCTGTCTCAGGGGTTTATGGAAGATCTGGCCAGATGAACTGACCATGACTATTTGGGAGCTGGGAGCTAATTGTAGGGGGAAGAGGGGATTCACTGTCCTGGACTGACGAGGAGGAGCGGGGCCATGTCACCACTTAAACTAGCATGGAAATCACAGCTGTAAAGACCTCACAGGCTCCGGGTGTGTTTGTGAGAGAGAACACCTCAGCCTTCCATTGTCTGCGTATAACCTTAGGCACTAGAAGCAAAAATCCTCCTCTCCGTTCCCTTCCCCCTCCCTCTGAAAGAACAGGAGCCCTGATTCCCTTCCCTCACCCCTTGGCACAGCACCATGGGAAAGATCCCCTCCCCCTTACAAACGGGTAGGACCACCTAGCCCCTTCCCACCTCCCCTCACTCCTCCAGACCAGTTCTTCCCATCCCTGGCTTCCACTCCTGTTACATCCTCCCTGCCCCCAGTCCCAGGCATGAGGGGGATGGGGCAGTTCAGTCTCAAAGATGCTACCAGGTACTAGGGCCACTGATGTACTGTTCAGCATTAGACTGTTCTTAGTGCTTCAGGGCTTGTGTAGAGTGAGTTGGGCTTGATGGGGTCTTTTTTGTTGTTTTTTTTTTAATGGTACCAACCACACCATGAAAATACTTTGACAGCTGTTAATGCGCTCCAGGATGGCTGGGAGCACTAAGTTAAGTTTCAAGATTTTAATTTATTATGAAGTAAAGTGAATTTCACTTTTTAACAGCTTCCCTTATTTCTATCTTAGGTCCTTTTGTGGCCCCCCCATCAGGGTAGTATCCGAGTGCCTCATAATCTTTAATGTATTTATTCTCACAACACCCCTGTGAGGTAGGGAAGAGAAGCTATCCCCATGTGACAGATGGGAGAACAGAGACATGGTGAGGTGAATGACTTGCCCAAGTTGACAGTCTGGTTTTTTTGTTTGTTTTTTGTTGTTTGTACAGCACCTCGCACGATGCGGGTCCCAGTCCATAACTAGGGCTCCTAGGTTCTGCGGAAAAGGACCTAGGGGTGACAGTGGACGAGAAGCTGGATATGAGTCAGCAGTGTGCCCTTGTTGCCAAGAAGGCCAGTGGCATTTTGGGATGTATAAGTAGGGGCATAGCCAGCAGATCGAGGGACGTAATCATCCCCCTCTATTCGACATTGGTGAGGCCTCATCTGGAGTACTGTGTCCAGTTTTGGGCCCCACACTACAAGAAGGATGTGGATAAATTGGAGAGATTCCAGCGAAGGGCAACCAAAAATGATTAGGGGTCTGGAACACATGACTTATGAGGAGAGGCTGAGGGAACTGGGATTGTTTAGTCTGCAGAAAAGAAGAATGAGGGGGGATTTGATAGCTGCTTTCAACTACCTGAGAGGTGGTTCCAGAGAGGATGGTTCTAGACTATTCTCAGTGGTAGAAGAGGACAGGACAAGGAGTAATGGTCTCAAGTTGCAGTGGGGGAGGTTTAGGTTGGATATTGGGAAAAACTTTTTCACTAGGAGGGTGGTGAAACACTGGAATGTGTTACCTAGGGAGGTGGTGGAATCTCCTTCCTTAGAAGTTTTTAAGGTCAGGCTTGACAAAGCCCTGGCTGGGATGATTTAATTGGGGATTGGTCCTGCTTTGAGCAGGGGGTTGGACTAGATGACCTCCTGAGGTCCCTTCCAACCCTGATATTCTATGATTCTATAGGTAAATAAATTCACACAGGTAGTCTGTGGCGGAACTAGGACTTGAACCCAGGTCTCCCAAGTCATAGGCTAGTGTTCTACCCACTGGACCTCTTTCCCTTTAGTTGCATAGAGTTGTTTAAAAGGAAAATCCTAGAGTTGCCTCAACAAACTTTATTTCTGCCTTTAAATTGCTGATCCTTTCCTTGTTCTAGCCCATCTTCCACATCCACTCTTACCTGGGAGAATCCTGTGTAGTTTTTCAATAATTCTGGGGGCCATATAGCAGTCAGTAACAGAGTAATGGCCATTCTCCTGCTCTTCCAAAGTCTTGTGTTTTCATCCTCTCTATTTCCTACCTCTGGTGATTGTTTCACAATCTATTGGATTGAGCCCCTTCAGACTTCATTTATGTTGGTCTTAGTTTTGTAATGAGTTCAGCAGCAAAGCAATGTTCGTAGTCTCATCCGTAACATCTTATGTCTCATCGTCAACTTAATTTTCAGAATCCTTCTAGGTCATATAAGTGAGTCTCTCTCCATGCCATGTGTTTCCTTTTCTTTTTGGTTTCAACTAAGCTCCTGTTTGTTTAGAATCCTCCAATAAATTTTGCTTTCTCTGTAGGGAGTGTATGCAGAATGTGCTCTCTCTCAAAAGTATATGCTCTAGCTCAACCAGAAGATATGAGCTTGATGCAGAAATTACTGAGGGAGGTTCTATGGGCTATTATGCAGGAAGACCGACTGGATGATCATAATCGGCTCTTCTGGCCTTAAAATCTATGAATCTGTGCTACATTCAGCTCTTAGCCTGATGCAGTCTTAAGACTATACTTGATCTAAGTAGAACGCAGCATGCTCTCCTATAAAACTACTTCACAAGGATAGCTTGACAGAGGAGATGATTAGCAGTGGCTGAAATAAAATGAAAATGTTAAGAGTCCACAAGAATTAGAGTCCCAAAAAAGGAGGCAAAGGAGCCAGCGTTCCTTTCCTGTGTTCTAACTCCTGTTTTGATTCACTAGGTAGTGAACCTGGCCTTTTTGACTTGATCATCATCAATAATGATCTACAAAAAGCCTATTCTGAACTGAAGGAGATTCTTGCAGAGGTAAGTCATTTAGGGCTCTTCTGCCTTGGGTACCGTGCAAGCTATTGTAAATGGAGAGTCAACTGTTAGAGAGCATCAGAAGGAAATGCTTGAAAAACATTCCGTTTCTGAGAGAAGGCAAAGTTGTAGCTAGGCATATAGCCCTGACTCAGTAAGATGTCTAAGCACATACCTAACTTTTTAAGTATGAGTAGTCCCATTGGCTTCCATGGGATGCTACTCCCATGCTTGACATTAGGCATTTGCTGAAGTACCTTGCTGACTCAGGGCCTTAAAGAGGGAACTCTGGTATGCAGAGGTTTTTCTCCTGGTCCGGGACCATTATTTGCAAAAGTTTACCCAGGGCAGGGGCCTTGTCTTCTGTTGTGTTGGACTGGGCCAAGCACAGTGACACTAGTCAGAACATAATCAGTAAATGCAGTGACCTTCATGCACCCAAAGCCAGGACCCAGTTGTTGGCTTCGTGAGCCCTAAAGGTCACTGCTGAAGCAGTTACTTCTGAAGATTGGACATGGGTGATGTAACGAAGAGCAGAACTTTAAGCTTTGCAGTTAGGCTGGGAGAATTGTATCTTGGAAAGCAGGGCCTCTGAAAAGGACATAGGGGCCCTGGTGGATAACCAGTTCAACACAAGCTCACAGTGTGATGCAGTGGCTAAGGGGGCTAATGGGATCCTTGAATGTATAAGCAGAAGAGTTTCAAGTAGCAGCAGGGCAGTGGGGTTACCGCAATGTCTGGCGTTAAATGAGACTCTTGTGGAGTTCTGTGGTCCCCGTTTCAAAGAGGATGTTGAAGAATTCGAAAGGGTCCAGAATAGAGCTACAAGAATGATGCCAGGTCAGAAAAATCTGCTTTATAGTGAGAGATTTAAGACTGTTATCTATGTATTTTAACAAAGAGGATGTGAAGAGGTGATATGATCGCGGTCTAGAAGTACATGGGAGAAGATGTTGGATAGCTGAAGATGTTTTAACCTAGCAGACAAAGGTGGAATGAGATCTGATGGCTGGAAGCTGAAGCTAGACAAATTCAGATAGGGAGCAAAGCATGCGTTTTTAACCCTGATGGTGAGAGAACCATTGGAACAATTTACCAAGAGATGTGTTGGATCATGTGAAGTCTCTTTAAATCCAGACTGGATGTATTGCTAAAAGGAATAGTCCATTTCAACCATAAAATATGGGCTTGATGCAAAGGTCACTTGATGAAATTCTGTGGCCTATTCTATGCCAGAGGTCAGACTGGATGATCATAATGATCCTTTGTGGCCTTACAATCTATGAAGCTATGAATTATTTACAGAGAGCAATACACGATAAATCATTTTCTTCATCTGCTTGCAGGAAATTCAGAAGGTCCAAGAATCCAAGAAATCCTGAGTTCAGTCTGCTTGGCTGCCATTCCTCACGTGCTTCACAGCATTCTGGTCCAAGAGAGACATTCCCTTTAGCCTGATTCCCTTCCGAGTTACTATGACATTTATATTAAAAAACAAACGCAAAACCAACCTTATATTTATATTAGCCAGGGCTTCTGCTACTTGTGTGCGCACGCTAAGGCGTCCAATGCTCTTCTAGGTTTGCGTGGAGGTTCCAGGCAAACAGTCTGAAAGTCCCTGTACTGTATTTCCTGAACAGAATTATTCTGAATTCATTTGTATTGCCTGATCATAGATACAGCCCCATGCTGATACAATCCGTGCGTGTAGTGTGTGAAACTAAGCAGTAGTCTCCTCCATAGCATTTTTTGGTGGATACTCCCTTCCCACCCGTGGGCTGCCTGCACCAGATGCCGCCTGCAGAAGGGAATTGCTTAGTATGACCTGACCTGGCTTTCAAATGGGTTAAAGTGTGCAGTGGCATCAGCTGGCCTGAAGTGACCAGCTGAGAGAAGAGATGCAACTGAAAAGGAAAGAGAGGGGCTGAAGACCAACTCAGAACAAGGGTGGAGCAGAAGAGAGGACGGTGCTAACGCTGGTGTCCCGCCCTCCCCTGTCCCCCGTAAATGTTCCACTAAGCAATGAGAGCTCCTACTCTTTCCCTTTTGTCCTCCCATTAGGCCAGTGGCTCCAGCCACCACTCCTTTAGGTGTTTAACATTGTCAGCGAGTCTTTCTGCTTGATCTTGATGCTGCTGCTGTCTAGGGCTCCTTTCAGCAGAGCTTGGGTAGCTCCAAACCTCAGTCCTCGTGCCCAGGACCTAGTCAGGTGAACTGCTGGGGTTGCTTGAAAAAACTGGAGACCCGCTTAATCTACCAAGAAATAAAATCATGTCCTGACTTCTCCTGGCTAAAAGGAGTTCCTAGGGGAGCAATCATTCAGCACCTGCCTGCCCTGCAAGACTGTGGGGTGTGGTCATATATGTTATTCTGTATGAATGCAGCGGTGGAAAGGTTTGGGTGTTCCCAAGTTCAACTCTCTGGGGAATTTCTTTCCAGGCTGTGCAGCGCTTTTATTCCTGGAAGAACTGACAATGCAAGGGGGCATTTTACATAACAGTTTCTGAGATCTCTGTGCCTGCTGCCATCCTGTTCTAGTTGAAGGCTTTGAAACTTCAGGGTTTCCCTTCAAATTGAACATCTTAGAACCAGTTTAATTCTGAAACATCCAAACCATTTTACACCTTTTCTCCTTGATGGTTTTCCAAAAGGAAGAGTCGTGGTTGCACCTCCATTTCCCAGATTATCACCCTTCCCCGCCACCGCCTACACCCATACGGTGAATGGTAGAACAGTAACATTCATTTAATGTCCATTTCCTCACAAAATTTGCCTACAGATAATATCTGATAATTATCTACAGATAATCTGACAAATACCTTCAAAGCCGAAGCTTGGCGCAGCATGGTTTCTGGGAGGTTGTTCATTAATTCCAAAGTTTTTGCTTTCAGGCTCTTCCCAACATGGATTGGGGTGGAATTTTAAATGGCACTTAGCACCAAAAGAATTAGCAATATCATCTGTGCTGGGCCCTAACAACTCCAAGTGTTAAGAGGCTTAAATGCGTATGTCATGGAAAAATGAGGACTGAAATTCTGCTTTCCCGTCGTTGCCCTGAATCTGCAGCCAGAAGAGCTCTACGTGTTAACTGAGTGACCTCTGTATTCCAGAACTGTATGGGTCTTAGGAGGGAAATTTCTCACTTATGAAATAATGAAGCATGGAGGGTTAGGGATAGCGGGGTGGTGGTAAGAACATGTGAGCCCTGACTACCCTAATGCTCCTACTAGTGGTGAATTAAAGGTTTTGTTTTGTTTTTTTTACTTTAATTTTTTTGCTTGTGCAGATGCAACCTGACTCTCTCATTGGCTGTGTGTATTATTCTGTCCTTGGGGTTCCTTCTTCCTTGAAAGTGCCCTGGGAGATGTGAGCATAAGAAGATTCTGGAAGCCAATGCTAAAAGGTCCTATGGGAGATATTACAGCCATGATATAAGGACCAACAGCTGCACCAGTGATATTTCCCATGAGGCCATCCTGTGTTTCAGGCCATGCTGTCCGTGCTGGGATCCTACAGACTTTTCCCCTATTGCAATCAGATTGCCTGATGGGAGTTTACTCTGTGCCTGACCTATATCACCACAGCAGGAAGCCCCCATGACCTTAAGCAGTTCAGATAACCCTAAACCGTGCACTAACCCCACTATACAAATCCCCCTAATTGATAAGCAGAAATTCCACTGCTTCCCCAAACGGGGCCCTTGAGATATGGTCAAGGGTTCTGATATGTTCCAGCCAAGAGAGAACTGCAGAAATAACAAGTGATGTACAAAGCTGGTTGCTTAAATGAAGAAAACTGAGTGAAGAGAGCAGGATGTAGGTGTTTCCCTGCAACCCAGCCCGAGCCATGGCACTGGCCTCAGGCAAGAGAGTGGGGAAAGGAAACTAGTTTGTGTGCCAGCTACTGTACCGAAGAGAGTCAACAAACAGCACTAAAGATGAAAAATTAATGTTCTTCTCTCTCTTCCCTATCAGCCCCTTTTAATAGTCAACGTGGTAGTAAGACAGGTAAGAAATTCCCCCCTCCCACCCTTGCAATATCTGTTTTTCATCTGAGCATGTTCCTCATTCCAAGGCTGTATCCTATAGGGCATCATCCTGGATGTGGTGGTAGGGGATGGACTAATGATCTAATAGGTCTGTCCCAGCTCTGCTGAGTCTGATCTGATGCCATTCCTTTTCCCCCTCAAACGCCCTCTGAACTCTCATGGTGCCAGACCCTCTACCTAACTCCTTTCATTGCATTGGGAAATCAAGGAGTGGTAGCTGCCTAGGTGCCCAGGCCTCAGCTCTCTGTAGGGACTTGGGCATTGCATGCTGAGCGTCCTAGCAGCTGACGGTTAAGTGCCTGGAAAATCACAGCAACGTGCTGTGATCCAGGAAGCCGTGTTAGGCACCTAGGCTCCCTCTGCAATGACATGGGAGAGAGAGGCATCTTAGAATGCAATCTACAAAAGCCAGCATGATAAGCCAGGAGCCCTGTAAGCTAGCCACTGGCCGATGCGGACCAGAGAGGTGTGTGCTAAGTTCCGCTCCTGTCTGGGAGATGGGTGTCTAACGCTATGCTCCCTGAACGGGAACCCATCCCCTGGAGTCAGGTGATTTAGGTGCCTAAGTAGTTTCTGATGTGAGTTCGGTGCCTTCCTCGCTCTGCACAAAAGGCAGAGGGAGGGGCTGCTGCTACCACCCATCTTATATTTTTTAGCCCCGTAGTTGGAGTACTGACCTGGGGTGTAGGAGAGTTGGGTTCAGTTCCCTCTCTCTTCCAAAAGGGGTGAAAGGATTCAAACAGGGGTCTGCCATGTCTCAGCTGAGTGTTCTAACCACTGAGCTGTGGTATATGCTGATGGGGTGGGAAGCCCTCCCTCGATCTCTCCTGTTGAAACTGTTCCCCTGTGGGATAACTGATGATTGGAGCAGGGGACTGGCCCCTACGTCTCCCATCTCCCCAATGGGAGCACTAATCACTGCAGTTACAGTGTCATTCTCACATTTCTTGTCTCTCTGGCCCAATGACTATTTAACGGGAGAGCATGAGGAAGTCCCCATCAGAATGCCCCATGACTCAGTGGTTCGAGCCCTCATCTGCGTGGTGAGAGACGCTTGTTCAAATTCTTTCTCCCCCTCTGCTTGAAGGGGGAAATTGAATCTGTCTCCCGCACCTCCCAGGTGAGTGCTCTAACCACTGGGCTAAAAGAAGGTGGGTGGCAGCCCTTCTCCAGCAATCAGATTTTGAATGGGACCAATCCTCTCGGGGGCCTCTAAGCATGCCTACCACAATGGGACCTGCAGGCAAGTTCAATGGAAGAACACCTAGCTTCTCTGGGTGATGCATCACTTTTGGGCTTAGCTGGGAGACTGGCATCCAAGTACCTAGCTTTGAGGCAGCAGTGCGCAAGCCCCGAGACAGAAACTTAGGCACTGAGCGACCTTTTCCTTTGAAAATGTAGGTGCCCGTGAGTTTAGTTGCCTACATGGGAGTTTTGGAGATCTCAGTGGAGCCCAAACTGGGACTTATGCACCTAACCGCACTAAACTTAGGCGCCAGATATTTCAAGGTATTTAGGCTCCCTCTGGGAGTTAGGTGCCTAAGTACCTTTATAAGTCAGGCCCCTAGTGCTCAGTTGCAATTTAATTTTAGAAAGGGTTAGTTGCAGTCCAGGTAGTGGAGCACTAGAGGGGGCCCATGACCCTAAGAAAATTCATGGGGACCCTTCTGCCCCAACACAGAGAAACAGAGCTGTGTAGTACACTGGATGAACTGGTGTTTCTCGGGATCGTTCTTTGTACCAGTTAAGATTCTGTGCCCATTACCAGCTGAAAATGCACCAAGCTGCACCTGTGACTGTCCTTTAGCAAGCTCTATCCTTAGACGTTCCTCTGGGCTCCCTTGACTTCTGGAAGGCACTGCAGCCAGTGTGACATACAAGCATTACTGAATCCTCAGAAAGTCCCCCTGGGCTAGATAAGTGGCAGATAGGGATTGCTTCATTCAGCATTGACATGCAACTGTCTCTGGGGTGGAAGGCAGCAGTTATTTAACACTTCATAGTGACACTATAGAACATCTTAGAAAAGGGAGCAGAGAAGACTAATGAAAGAACAAAGGGAATTAAAATAATCTCAGATTCTGCCCCAACAGCCCACCCTTAAATCCGTGCCATGGGCTCTTTAAATGACCCCAATGAAATAAATTGGTAAGCATGTTATTTATAGTTCCATCTCTTTGTGTGGTGGACTAAAAGAATGAACACTTCATTCTCTCATGCTAATGGAAAATGACATGCTCGGTGTCAGGATTATGATGCGTGAAGAAAAAGAAAACGAGCTTAGATTGCTCTTGCGTCTCTAGGCGGTGGACTGTATTTCATTACGAAAGAGACATGGATGCTGTAGACAGAAACCCTAATGTAAGAGCACAGGATTTTCGTATGCCTCTATATCGTGATTGTCAAATTAAAGCCCAGTGTCTCTTTCCAACCTCTTGAGCTGCTGGCAGCCACTGTATGGAGGTGACACAGCTGAACAGGAGAAATAAACCCAACAGACAGAGTACGTGTTTTGTGCCTTTAAAATGCTGAAGAAGTTCTGGAGAAACTGGCTATTCAGAGCAGGGATGTCAAACACCTGGTTTGTGGGTTGGATCTGGCCTGTTTTAATGTATTTATGGGGCCTGTGGAAAGTATTCAGATTCTTTAGCATCTCCGCTTTCATTAAAAGAAATTAACTTTCCGAGTGTAAACCACTGCAGCATCTTCCTGAGTCTGCAGACAGCCTTAAACAAGAGTTTGGATGTGCATCTCAATGGGGTATTGACTCTGAAGCCTACAGATGACATTTCCAATGCTAACATAGATAACTATTTCACCACGGATCATTTTAGCAGAAATATCCAAAATGTGTGTTCCAGGCTTAGGCCTCCCTGACCATCTTAGATTCTGCTGGGATGGAAATGGCTCAGTTATGAGCCTGGCAGCTATGTGCTACAGAAGTGAGGCTGGAGAGAGATGGAGGGGAAAGAAACTTGGCACTTGTGCAGCACTGTGAAAATGTAAAGAGGCATGTGCAGCCATTAACTAACACAGCAATGTTACCAATGGCCATTTGCCATGGTACGGCCTAATTCCAACCTAGGAAGGGCCTTGGGAGTGGATGTTAAGGGCCTGATCCTGTTGATGTCTCTGAAATGTGCATGTCCAGAGGCAGAAACTTAGGTACCTAGGGAACTTCTACCCTGACAAATTAGGCACCAAGTAAGTTTAGGCACCTACAAGATTAGGCGGCAGCCACAAGGGAGTATTGTGGATCACCTAAGTCTGGGGTTTAGGTGCCTGAATATCTTTGTGGATGTGGGGCTGAGTGTTTTGCCATCAGAGCCCTAATCTTGTAAACAGATACATGCAGGCAGACCCTGGCTCTGGTGTGGGGTCCTACCGAGGTCACTAGTGCTCCACATGGGGAGAGGCTCCATCCAGGCAGATCCAGTTGCAGGATTGGGTCTACAGTCAATTGAAGAGGCCTTCATTCTGTCAAGGTGGAGTCCTGCTCACCTTACTGATGTGAGCAATTCCATTATGGCCAACAGGGCTCTGCATGAGAGAGGTGAGCAGCAGGAATTGGCTCTCAGTGGAGTCCTAATTCCACATAAGTGATGTCACAGTCACTTCCATAACCGTGCCGCATGGTGTCATAAACCCAGGCTATGGACTTCATTGCAGGCTCTCACAGGGTGAGCTGGCCCTTTCAGAGGGTTGATGATGGCTCAGCTGGAGGCAATGGGGGATGTCAGCTGAGAAGGAGTCAGGCAACCAGGAGGTGGGTCTGGGACAGTATAGGGCATAGCTGGGTGGGTGCACAGCTACTGGAGGAGGGCTGTGGGGGAGCACTGCTTTTGGGGTCAAAGGAGGGAGAAGAGACAGCAGCAAGATGGAGGGGCTGCTGTAGAAGGGGAGGAGTCCTAGGAGCAGGTGCTCTTCAAAGAGCATGAAACCAGTCAGGTCGTACAGGAGGATGTGCTGGGGAAGAGACTCAGCTCCCTCTTTTCCCCCAGGTTTGGCTCTGGTGGTAGGGTGTCCAAATCTTTAGGGCTTACAGGGCCAGAAACCCTTAGAAGAAGGAGGCTGTAGGGTCCCCCTGTGTTGCCACTTGGGAAGGGGAAGTAGTGACTCTTGATATGAAAGGGAGGAAGAAGGGATTGTTGTGTGCCTGGCATGGGGCTGGGGTGGAAGAAAGGCACCTCCTGCTGGACTTTGATTACCTCAGAA